GTTGTGTTTTTTCCGAGGCCCCCCCCTTTCTTCGCGCGGGGGGTCCCATTTTTTTTTTTTTTTTTTTTTTTTTTGGCTCAATGAGAGCAAGAGGGCACCGGAGAGGATTTCCTAATCTCAACGTGCAGCCGAGCCGTGCGCCTGTTTTTCTCTCGCCTGTGTCAAAGGTAAGGCATGACTCTGGGTGCGCGTCATGCGCCTCGCCAGAAACAGGGGACACGGATAATGTTGGGCTCTTTATGTTGAGGTGGGGAGGGGGGCAAGGGGGGTTGGTGGAAAGGATGGTTAGTGGTTTAAGCGGAAAGGGCGAAACTCAAGGGCAGACAGGGAGTGGAGAGTGGGGAGGGAAAAAGAAAGAGTTCAGCTGTGAAGGCAGCAAGCGTCTCTTAAGAAGTCAAACAGTGCGGACAGGACGCATGTGTGCCGGTTGTTTATCCTCCTTTACCTGCGAAGCGTCACATTATTGTGCTGTGTTTTTTTTTTTGTGTGTGTTTTTTACAGACTGCAATCAAGTCATGTCTGTGAACCGCGGGCGTCGTATTTCATTGTGTATGTTTTCCTGGTAAAAGCAGCAAATATGACCCTTTTGCTCTTAAATTGTTGGGTGATCCCTTCATTCAGTCATGATCATGCTGATGCATGATAAGTTTCACTCTTTGCACCGTATGCAGTTATTTTGCCGACTCGTAAATGTGAATCCCGGCTGATTTTGAAGAGCAATCTATCAGTTGGGCTTCCGAATGAGGATGCTCATGGTCGTCCTGTGGTTAAACGATATCAATTCTTGTTTAGTTTTGTTATAATATCCCTGTACTTTGGTTGTCTTAACTCTTTTTTTAAAGCTTTGTCTTACAGAACAATAATCATATGCATTAAATAAACTCAGTTATTGTTTGCAAGAGTTTCAGTTCAGTGTTGTCCCCGGGGATAATATTTCAGGTAGTTGCTCAAATCAGTCTACTTTTTCTGTCTCCTTCTACATTTAGATTTGTACTATAAAGCTCAGCTTTTATGTTTTTTTTTCAGCTTCTTTGCTTTGTTTTTTTTTTCCTGCTTTACTCATAACTCCTCTATGTCTGTCTGATTTCCAGCTGTTTCAGCAGACACTCTTTATCCTATTTTAGTCCAGAAAAATGCATTTTAAATGTCCTGTTCAAATGGAAGCTAAACATATTAACGGAAAGAACTTTTCAGCTACGTTTAGATGTTAATTTATTGCATATGATTGTTGTTCTGTCTGGCTTAGACATCAGTAGAGGTATTTATACTGATCAGGCATTGCATTATGGTGAGCGCTGGCACCCTAAGTAGTCTACGGCTATGCAACAAACTGCAATGCACTGTGAATATGGAAACTTCTCTATCAGATCCAACAATAACTGATCTAGCAAGCTGAGTTACAGTCGCTTGTCTGTTGGTTTAGACCACACATGCTTTAAAGAACCTCGGTTGTCCGTGACCCTCTCAGCGGTTCAGCCTGGTGTTTTCCTCTGATCCACTTTTGAGAGTTACTGACTCCTGAAGACTGGTAACAATTCACAAAAGATGCAGTACTGAAGACAGTCTGACCAGATTTTTGCATGTGTATGAAAAAAAAAATCATAACTTTCTGTGATAAAGTCAAGCTAAAATATGTGTTCGATCAGTGACAATAACCAACGTTTTTCTTTCTTTTTTCAAAATACTGGAAATCATTTTTTTTTATCGTTTTCCTCAAATTTAGAAGTTTACATACGCTACGACTGCTATGTCTTTAAGCCTTTTGGGAAAGCCCAAACTGTGACGTCATAGCTCCATAAGCTTCTGATCGGTACGTTGGGCACATCCGTAGATACGTTTTAAGGCAACAACCTGAAACGTAATCCTTACATCCCATCTTGGAAAAATAAAAAATAAATCAGGAAGGTAATTTTGAACCTACCGAAGGTGTCACGTTTGTTCAGTGAATTAAATTCAAGCATTATCAACATCCAATCAATGTAGTTTTTAGCAAGTAGAGACATTTTGTTTCCTAGAAATACATTGTCAGGAGTAGGTCAACATTTCAGCAAACCTTTGTGAGAACTCTATAGAATGATACAGACATGAAACTTGTTTCTACTATTTAGAAATGAGTGCATCAAATACAGAGGACATTTGTGTAAACTTCTCAATTTGAAGAAATTCTGACTTCAACTGTATTCCCAACACGTGCAATAATTGAAATATAAGTGGTCTAATTTCCTGTATATGCCATTGGTCATGATGTTGGACCTGAATTAAGGCAATCTTGTAACTTTTCTGTCATATTTCCTCTTTGTTTAGACAGAGGCCAAGAATATCTTTTCAACTGAATTTGGCTTGGCGTGTTGACTTTCCTCCTCATCAAGTGGTGTAATTCTTCTTCTATTCTTTCAATGCTATCTAGTGAAGGCTGATATGATGACATCCCTTGGAAAACTGGATCCCGGACAGCGCTGACAACCTTCTTATCTTATTTGAATCTGAGGGAAATACAATGTTTAACTCCCCAAAGTTCCTAACCACCTGTTAAGAGCGAGGACACTGAGAGCTGCACCGTCATGGCTTCAGATCAGCCCAGCGTGGACTGTTCGGAGAAGAGATTTGCAGAAGCCGCTGGCTGCAAGCAGCTGGGACGGAAATATTTGCGGAAAAAGCTCCGGCCTGTTCGGGTTTTGGGGTTGGTCTTCAGCCTGGTGGCTTTAAGTGCCGTCTCCGTCAGTGCCTTGAGCAGGAGATCAGATGGGCTCAGCGAGCCATCGCTCCCTCAGGTGGATCTTCAGCAGTCAGCCCCACACAGGACCCTCCTTTCCACTCCACACCAGGGGGACCCAAATGTGTTCGTTGACATGCCCATAGCCATGAAGTCCACAGCAGATGACAATGAGACGCAGGGGGAGTACCCACAGGACCTTTTTAGCCTGGAGGAGAGGCGACAAGGAGCAGTGGTCCTCCATATGTTTGGCATGATCTACATGTTCATTGCCTTAGCCATCGTGTGCGACGAGTTTTTTGTTCCAGCGCTGACGGTAATCACAGAGAAGCTCTCCATCTCAGATGACGTGGCAGGTGCCACTTTCATGGCGGCCGGCGGTTCGGCCCCGGAGCTCTTCACCTCCATCATCGGAGTCTTCATCTCTCACAGCAACGTGGGCATAGGCACCATTGTAGGCTCGGCCGTCTTCAACATCCTGTTCGTCATCGGGATGTGCGCCATCTTCTCCAAGGAGATCCTCAACCTGACGTGGTGGCCGCTCTTCCGCGACGTGTCTTTCTACATCCTGGATCTGATCATGCTCATCATCTTCTTCTTGGATAACATCATCACCATCTGGGAAAGTCTCACACTGCTCTCCGCCTACGCTGCCTATGTGATCTTCATGAAGTTCAACAGCACGGTGGAGGGCTTCGTCAAGGGTTGCATGCACAAGAACCAAGTGGTGGAAGTAGAGGTACAACCCAAGGTGAGTTGAAAATACAGTTTTTATTTAAAAAGCTTCATGTTTTTTAAATGAAGCTTTATGTTTTTTTTTTTTGTACCTTTGTAGTTTGCTGACATGGCATGTTTCCTACTGAGCTTACAACATACAATCGAATTAAGCTCCATTTCAGATTTATACATTTTTATGACTATTCATCTTCATTATTGGCGAAAATACTAAATTATAAATTGAAATAAACTGATGCGTAATGTTGAGCTACAAAATTACGGCAACGTGTAAGTATGCGACGAGTGTACCAACTGGCAAACTGACCCCTTTAAACATTTTATGTACCTAGTCTGTCACAGGCTTTCGCTAAATAAATAACACAGTCGGCCGTTTAGAAGATCTGAGCGCATCTCTCAGATCTCCTCTGCCAGATCAGGCAGTGTGTATGAGCCACTGAAAAACACGTCCGTTGCTCATATCACTTCCCTCATTACTTTTGAAACACCAGAAAGTCGAGAAAGGAGTGTTGTCACCAGCTGAACAGGCCATTTCACATCAGTGATTGCCTCTACACTGCTGTGAAGAGCTGACAAACAGCGTTCCGCTGCGAGATTAATAAAACGCGGCAAAATGTGTAATTCTGGGTTAAGCTCTACACTTTATGTCTCAGTCTGACAAACAAATCCCTTAGAAAATCTGAGGGCTGACTTTAACCCCATCAGTTTAAGATTTTCCTCAAAGCTCGTTTGTCGAGGTCAGTCTTATTGTCTGAGATTTTTCCCTTTATTTTAAAATTGACTCCTGCTCTGCGTTTCACTCCTTGCTTGATGAAAAAGAAGGTCAGGAAAATCTTGACGCTATCGGCCAGAAATAGCATCGTTCTGTTACTTCAGCTGACACAGACCTCCTCAATGACACTCGAGGGCAAAAGACACCGCAGCGCAATTTGATACTGGTGCGGAGATTATCCTCACGGATTTTCCTTTGTGACAAGAGATGGAAATTAAATTTTCAGAAAGTTGTATTTCAGAACTGTCATTAAATTGGGATTTATTCTAAGTACATGACAGATTGTTTCGTTTATATATATATATATATATATATATATATAAAAACAGCAGGTTACACAATGTTTGAAAAACCCTCTGGAGGAAGCCAATAGCACCATAAGGTGCACAGCCCTGTCAGTTTTACCTTTATGCCCTGTTATTTTGATTTGAAATACAAAGAAAGAGAGAGAGAGAGAGAGAGAGAGAGAGAGACTGTTAGAGATGACCTTGAAATGCAATACATGCTGGGACTTTTTGCAAAGGAAGCATCCGAGGACTACTCTTAAATCACTAGCACTTTATATTGTTTAATAAACACATGACCTTAAGTTTCGGCATTGCTTATTTGACTTAAAAGTACATAACTGAATTCAAAACAAGAGTTTATATTTTTCATTTAATCAGATATAGACTATAATTAACCTCTTTAAACATATTGTCCTTGCTTCGAAGGTCAATTAAACCACAGTGACACAAATATTATTAGAAAACAATTTAAGCACTGGTTTTTAATCAAGCTTTGACACTTTGGGGGCACAAGTGTTATTTTGAGAATTCATTGATAATAGCTGATGTAAGTTTGTTTCTGGGTGTGCAAATTTGTACCACGGTGATTGAGTGGGACAAGACAGTAAGGACAAAGATGTGTTAGAGTATTAAAAGACAAATTCCAACAAAAGCCTGAAGGATTCCTTCTTCTGAACCAGAGTTATGCTTTTAGGTATTTCAGATTACTTTAAATTCACTCTTAATTAATTGTTCTTGGCATGTTTTAGTCTCCTGATTATGTATTCAATCCATCTGTTGTTTTAGGCCCGACTGATTATCCAACATAGACCCTAGTGATTTTAGTGTAAAATATTAAAATAGTTTGAATTTGTAGTGGACTGTCTTTAACTCCCCAAAAGTCAGAAATGACACTGACCTCCCTGTTTCTTCCTATTATTGATCAACGTGGGCGTCAGTGTTTCCTGGGTTGTTCTTAAACGTTCTACCTAATCACGCTTCATCTGAGGCTGACAGTTTGGGTCCGACAATTGGACCTCAGACAGAACTGGCTTTTTCAGGAAAACGGTGTTCCCAAACACTTATTAGCACTTGTTTTGAAATGTTTTTTTTTTTTCTAATTATCCTCACCCTATTCCTTTTGAAGGTTTGCCATCGATGCTTAAGATTTCGCCAGCAAACCAAACATTTTAAATAAATTTAAGAAGACATGTTGAATAGCTAGAATTTTGTCAGAAGATTTTGATGAATACAAAAGCATTTGTTTGAGGTTAAAATTGTTGGTGTTTGTTCATATTGGAACCTGTGGTTATAATTTTACCCTATGTGGATTAGAAACAATCCACTATAAATCTAAATGTTCCTTTTAAAACATATTGCAAATGTATTTCACTCACAAACAATGATTAAACGTCCAACATTAATAATAATAATAATAATAATAATAATAAAAAAGAACGTGATGGTCATTGTGAGTGTATGTAAAGCTCTCCCTGAAACTGTGATTAAATTATAAAGTACATCGTTGTCTGAGGTTTTATAATGCATCATGATAATTGTATTCTGTCTGCGACTGGTGAGGCTATTGCCGAGTCTGTAGGTTTCCCTCTTGGTAATTGCCAAATGTATTCTTAGCATATGTACCATTTTAAAAAATTATCCAGTCATACACTTGGACAGCAGTGGGATGTTTTGCAGTCGTAAGTCATTAGCTGGGTTTTGTACTGCGCGACTGCCGCCTTTAATCTCATTACATAACGACTTGTGCTGCTTACTCTTCTAACATGCAGTTTTTGATGTGTAAAAATTCTCTCTTTTCCTTGTCAGACTGAAAAAGATCAAATTGTTTCCAGTTTGTCTTTTACAAAATGAGACCCTGGTTTCCAGGTAAACTGTTAGACTTTAAAAGTGACGTTGCTTCTCTCTCTTTTTTACCGAAAGACTGATGCATGACGTTCAGTAAAGGACTTACAGACCCGTCATCATGTTTGAGTAACCTGCAGCAGCAGCAGCTGTAACATTCAGGCTATTGTTTTGCCTCATCAAAAGACATCAACAAAATTCCAGTTAATACTTCTACATGCTTCATAACACCATGCATCTAGACCAAGTATCAACAACAAACTGCATATGGATTGTTTCACACTCTCTCCATTAGCTGCAAAAATAAACTTGCAGTGTAGTGCAATCCATAGCAACCAGTCAATGACTCAGTCAGATGGAGGTGGAAAATGAACTGTGCTTTCACTACTGTTTTTATTGCAAAGGTCAAAAGAAAGGAAACCCGAGCAAATGTTATTTGCTTACATTTCTTCATATTTTCCATTTTATTTCTTTGTTCATTTTCATCATATTGTGGCTATTTAGCAGCCAATTGCTGATCTGTTGTAGATATTACACATGCAAGTCCTTTAGGACGAAATCTAAAAAGCAATTTAAAAAGCTAATATAAATAGAGGCATTAAGATAGAAAATACACCAAAGAACCGATAAAAATTAAAAATGTTTTAATCAGAGAAATAAAATCAAATAAAATCAAATAAAATGAATTGAAATTTAATTTAAGCAGAGCTTGGAAACAGGAGCTTCCAAAAGCATCTGAAGAAAGATTTATTAAGACAACCTGATAATTTTAGGAGTCTAGCAGGGCTTCGTGATTTATTTAGAACAATAACTTAGAAGTACCATTTATAGTATTTGTGCAAAATATTTATTTAGCGATTTTACCTGCAACAGTTTAAATAAAACAACTGAGCAAACTAATAACGTCTAAAGTGTTAAAAATGTGGAGATGTTTTAGCTGTTCAGTATTCGTGGATTCACCTGTATGTGAATTTTTCTGTGGAGTGCAACTCCAAATTATTTCTGGAAAATTTACCAATTTAGAGGGGTTTTGGTTGAGCAAAGTAGATTTTTAGAAAGAAAATATAGCTGTGAAGCTGAAACCTATTTGCAAAGCTATTTCACACGCTATTGTGTAGCATTTGAAAGGAGACAATCCAGGATTGCCATTTGTTTTTCTTGCTGCTGATTGGCTGTACCCCCCAAAAATGGAGCTGGGGAAGATTGCGGATGTTAGCTTGTGCTATAGTGCTTGAAATGTTGCTGTGCAGTGCAGCTGATAAGCTATAACTGCAACAGTTATGGATTTTGTAAACCTTGAAATACATCAAGACTTCATTGAGACTATAATTCGTTTGCTTGGATAGTCTTGTTCATTCTCTTAGTCACACAAGTCAGTCAAAACGCGCACATCCTTTTTGTCCCATCTGCAGATGGTTGTAGGTCAGGGAGGGTTTCAGTGTACCGTCTCCTGCTTCTTAATTGTTGCACGTTCTGTCACAGTTAAGCTCCTTACATTGCTCGGGTGGTCCGTGATGTAACCGGACAGAATCCAATCGTTTCCGCATCATCTCTGAACTCAAAGGACTTAGTCTATCATTTCTGCACTGGAGTGTAAAAGGAGGCCAGCTATTGCATGAACACATGCCTCAGTCAGTCATTCCTAAAGGTTCTCAATGCACAGACCTCTCAAGGTCACAGCAGAAATACAGACTCAATGTGGAACCTCGAACACCGACGATTGCAGCACGAGCCAAGAATATGTGTGGCCAGTTAGAGGTTTCTGTTTTCCACCATTTAGATCAGGACCAATTTCTGATTATAAAATCTACTGCTGCCTTTTTCCAATGTAAAACGGTATTTTTCTGAAGCTTCGTCGAGGCTTCATTCCTTAGTAGTTTGTGCATGCTATACCTCCCCATCTGCACCCCTTGGACCTCCTCTCCCCCCACCCTCTCCATGGCTATCCCAGGCTTATCTTGTTATTTTGTGGCCTCTCTCATATTTTCTCAGGTCATAAGCACAAACTTCAATATACTTTTACTGGGATTTTCTGAAAAAGATCAAGGCTTCAGAGATTTGCTAGAGAACATTAGTGAACAAACAGCATCATGAAGACCAACACTGCAGACTGGT